CTTCACTTGGACCTTCTCTCTTATTTAACTTCTTAGGGTCTATGTGGTGTATCATAGGTATTCTGTACTTTTTGGCTAATATCCATTTATCAGTGAGTACATGCCATGCATGTCCTTTTGGGTCTGGGTTACCTCACTCAGGATGGTATTTTCTATTCCATCTATTTGCCTGCAAATTTCATAATGTCTTTGTTTTTAATATTTGAATATTATTTCATTGTGTAAATGAACCACACTTTCTGTATCCATTCTTTGAGTGAGGAACATCTGGGTTGCTTCCAGTTTCTGGCTATTATGAATAAGGTGGCTATGACCATAATGTATCATGTGTCCTTGTGATATGGCGGAGCATCTTTTGGGTATATGCCCAAGAGCAGAATAGCTGAATCTGCAGGTAGAGCTATTTCCAATTTTCTGAGGAAGCACAAGATTGATTTCAGAGTGGTTGTACCAGTTTGAAATCCCACCAGCAATGGAGGCGTGTTCCTCTTTCTCTACAACCTCATCAGCATGTGCTGTCACTTGAGTTTATCTTAGCCACTCTGATTGGTATAAAGTGGAATCTGGTTCATTTTAATTAGCATTTCTCTGATGACTAAGGATGTTGGAACATTTCTTTAAGTGCTTCTTGGCAATTTGAGATTTCTTTATTGAGAATTCTCTGTTTAGTTCCACACACCACTTTTAATTGGGTTGTTTGTATTTCTGGAGTCTAGCTTCCTGAGTTCTTTAGTTCTTTTGGATGTTAGCCCTCAATCTAATGTAAGGTTAGTGATGAAATTTTCCCATCTGTAGACTTAAGTTTTGTTCTATTGTCAGTGTCCTTTGCCTTACAGAAGCTTTTCAGTTTCAAGAGGTTCCATTTATTTATTTTTGATCTTAGAGCCCAAGACATTGGTGTCCTGTTCAGGAAATTTTTTTCTCTGCCAATGAGTTCAAGAATATTCCCCAATTTCTCTTCTACTAGATAGAGTGTGTCTGGTTTTATGTTGAGGTTCTTGACCTGCCTTCGTAGTGCCAAGGAAAGGTTAGTGGTCCCCCTAAAACAGACAGGAGCTAATCTGATGCAACTCACATCAGGGTCTTTATTCTATTTGAACTAGCTCACCCCTCACACCCCCAATGCACCACTGTCACGCAGGACAGTTTTGGCAGTGTGGGAGCCCCGAATGTCTATGGGGCAAGGCTTGAACTCAAGTGCTTGTGTTTGCACAGCTAGCACTTTATTAACTGAATCACATCCTGAGCTCCCAGAGTATTTGTATCTGAATGCTTTGCTCTTCTGCACATGGTTCTGCCTTAATTAAAAGTTTTATTTTTCATGGCTATATTGTTTTCATTCTGTCAAAGAACCACTATTTTTCTTCCACTCACTTATTGATGGCCACATGGAATTTTCTAACACACAGCCATCTTAAATAAACCTAGGAAGCTTTTTGTTTCCTTCTTAAGATTATGTAACATTCTCTGGAGCAAATATGCTCTGTGGAAAGAAACTGGGATAGTTTCTCAAGGATATTAAAACACTTTTGTTGCAGCGTGCTAACTGTATGAAATAGCAGGTGTTCGAAGAGTCATTTCCAGCAGCCAGTTCAAAACTCTCTACCACTACACCAGTGTAGGTAGCGATATGAGGGAAGACCTAAGTGTCCTCTGCTTCATCTATGCAAGAACAGAGACCAGGCTGGAGTTGCAGGAGCTGCTATGCCACCTCACATCACAGCAGCATCCTTAATGCACCTCCTGTATACTGTACAGTGCAATCAGGCTCCATCCTCCATCTTCCTAACACTGTGACCTTCAGAAATAGAAATTCATCATCATTAGGATAATTTTCTTTCTAAATGTTTTATTAGAATATATTAATTATACATAATAATGGAGTTTATCAGTGTCTTTTCAATTATGTATACAATGCATTTTGTGGGGTGTGTGTGTGTGTGTGTGTGTGTGTGTGTGTGAAGTGTGTGTAAAAGGTTCTCGTTATGTAACTCACTATGTCCACCAGGCTGGTGTTGAACTCACAGAGACCTTCCTCCCTCTGCCTCAAGCATTCTGAGATTAAAGGTGTTCACCATTACCCCCTGTTGTGTAAAGCATTTTTATTGCATTCACCCCATTACCCTCCCCACTTTTGCAGATCCCCTTGTTTTCTCAAATAGTCCCCTTTCACTCTCATGCACTTTTCTGTGTAACAGAGTTGAATTTATGAGCAAAGATAAGGGGTTGTGGGAACAGGAATGACAGGAATGTGGGAACCTTATCAATGACTATACCAGTGGAGAAAATGTTCCTTCATCTCCCAGGAGCCATTAACTGCCTGCAAACCTCCCAAAGAGGGAAGGGCATTGTGAGGCCTTCCCTCTACAACTATTAACTTCCTTCTTCCTGGAGGGGTGGGGCCTCTTGAGCCCCTCCTATCATTTTGCTGCCCTACCATTTCTGACTGTGAGATCTTGGGCCCATTACCTGGCCATGTTGGATTAAAATGATCCACCCATAAACTGGGTGGGTCAGACCATTAAATGAATGTAAACATGAAGCACTTTAGAAAAGGCCCTAATGGGAATTCCCACACGTCCATATTTATCACTACACTAGCCACAGTAGCAAAGTGATGGAATCAGCCTAAATACCTTTCAACAGATAGATGCAGGGTGAAAATGTACTTTATATACACTGTGGAGTTCTATTCCACTATAAGAAACGAAATTTTGAGGATAATGCATGCATGGATCTGGAAAGCATTATATTGAGGTTACTGAGACTCAGGAAGACAGTACTACCTGTTCTCTTGCATATGTGAATCCCAATATTTAATGTGTATGAGTGGCTATGGGTGTTATGGACTGCCAAACTGGAACTAAGACCAGAAGAGGAGAGGAAGACGTACTGAGTAAGTACGAGAAGGCACTAGGACGTGGGACTTGAAAACAGAAGCCATCAGGGGCAAAAAGCTTCAGGGGAGAAGGGAGTAGAGAAGAGGTGGGAGGGTAGGAGGGAGTAGAAAGAAGGGGTGGGAAGAGAGGAGGGAGTGGGGAAGATGGGGGAAGATTACTAAAAACAAATCCTGTTTCAAAAAGATCATAATGAATCCTGATACTTTGTATGCTACTATAGTTTTTTTAATTGTAATTACATTTATTTAGTTTGGAGGAAGATGTGAAGACTGGAGGAGTACTTATTAGAGTTGATTCTCTCCTTCAAGCATACAGTCTTTGGTGTTGAACACAAGTCATCAGCCTTGGTGCCAAGCACCTTTACCCACTGAGTCACTGTGCACACTCGGGCGCACACACACAAACACACATATTAACATGCCTGCACACATACACACACAAATTACCATGAAAGTAGAGGGAGGGGATGAGCAGGAAGGGGAAAGGAGAAAGTAGCAGATAGATTAATAATGCATTAACGAAATACAATGAGAAGTCAGCCTAGCTTCCCAGTCAGCAGAAATCACTATGATTTATAGCACCAATGTAGCCTGAGGTCAGAGGGCAGGGTTTTCTGGGAAGACTGTGAACATCGCAAACCCCTGACTTTGCTACTGATGGAGAAGAAATTAACAGGAACTAGAAGAAATTAGAAAGCTAGAGAGAAGGCTCCATTAAAAAAAAAAAAGTGCTTGCCTCAGAAGCAGAAAATCCTGAATTCAGTTCCCAAAACTACATTTTTAAAAAAATCAGGTGTGGGGGCAACTGGTATGTAATCCCAGTACTGAGGAAGAAGAGAACAGCAGATTTTTGGGGCTTGCTGATTGCCTATTTAGTAAGTTCCAGACCAGTGAGAGATAATTTATATTACTGACTGTGAAGCTAGGCTAAGTTCAGTGTGTGTGTGTGTGTGTGTGTGTCCCTGAGACCTGAGGATGCAGTTAAATATTAGTGAGGGAGAGACATTTTCTTCAGTGATGTAGCCACTGATAAGATGCCCATCCTCCTGAAAATAAACTCTCTCCTGTGCTTCTTCTGTAAGCAAACCCCAATGAAATTCATGTACACACACACACACATATGAACATGCCTGTGCACACACACACACACACACAAATTACCATGAAGGTAGAGGGAGTGCTTGGAAAGAGGGAGGGGATGAGCAGGAAGAGGAAAAGAGAAAGTAACAGGTGAATATAATCAAAATACATTGTGGGCGGAGACTGCTCAGCTGTTAAGGGCATGTAGGGCTCTTACAGAACCTGAGTTGGGTTCCCAATAACCATGTCAGATGGCTCACAGTGAACTTTGACTCTAGTTCCAGGGGGATCTAGACCTCTGGCCACACACACACACACACACTTAAAACTGAAATGAACCTTTTGAAAATGTATTGTGTGCATGTATGCAAAAAGTTTAATGAAACACATTCTTATGTGAAATTGGAATATGCTAATAAAACGTTTTAAAAGATTTTTTTATTTTTTATGTATATGTGTGTCTGTCTGTATGCCATTTAAATGCAGTGCCTTAGGAGCCAGAAGAGCTACAGGCCATTTTGAGCTGCCTGCCATGGGTGCAGGGAACTAAAGTCAAGTCCTCTAGAAGAGCAACAGCCCCGCTCATTGCTGAACCATCTCTCTAGCCCCATTTTAAAGAAACATTTTTAAAGATGGGTAGTACTTAACGTATTATATCCAAAGTTATTATCTGGCCTCCATATGTTGTGCACACATATCACATTCATGCACACACATGTACACTCACATATGCATGAGCACATACGTCTATCAACACATAAAATCATGTGGACCCACACTAATTTAAAATAAAGTAATTTTATATTACAAGTTACTATTTCCATGAAAATCATCATATAGTTTTCCCATCCCGTAAGTGAACCAGATCTCTTTGCTATGAAGGTCAGAACACACACAGCCCCTCTGAAATTCTTAGAATTTGAGGTCTCTGATACACTGTGTCAAAATTTTCCTTCTCCTCTACCCCTTTCCGGTGCTGTAACCAAGTTCCTTGTTTCTCTTCCTAAGAAAGAGTAGCTGCAAAAGGAGTAAGAGACAGTGGATAAAAGCTGTTGTTACAAGCAGGACCAGGCACCAAGGAACAGCACTATTTGTGACTCCAAAGGAATGAGGGTACCACAGATGGGCTCTCTGGGTAAGACTACACTAGAAGTCTGGGAGCTTGGGGAGGTAATTTGGGTGATGGTCAGCTCAGGTCTCAGACTATCTAGGTTCTGACCAAAGCTCTGCCTGCTTAGATGAGGAACAGCTGATAATTTATGGTAACAAATACTTGATAAATAGGCTCTGATTCTGACCAACTTTAGAACTCAACAGTTTTCCAGGTACAGAAGTATCATGGGATGAAGAGTAGATATCTCCTATCAGAAATTTGGTCCTAGAAGATGAAGACTGGGGGGCTAGATCCCAGGGTCCCTGAGAGGTGAAGTTTCTAGAGCTTCACCCCTGATGGAAAGCTGACTTCTGAAACCCCAAGACTAATTGATGGAAGTGGAGGTTGTGGATCTGAGTCCCTGGATCCTGGAGAGATAGAGGTTGAGTCTCTGGATTTCTGAGTCCTGAGAAGGTGGAGAGTTGGGACTCAGTACCTGGATTCTGAAGAGCTTGAGGCTCCAGATATAGACGCTTGAGTCCTGGGAAACGGAAAGTTATGGATCTGGGACTTTGGTTAGAAACTGACTTTGGAGCTCCTTCCTGGGGATATGAAAGCTAAGGGTATGGATTCTGACACGAAGAGGCTAACTCTAGGTTCTCTATGCCAGGTAGTAAACTGTCTATCCTTGGCCTTGCAGGATTTCTAGAGAGAAGCCACATTCCCCTGGTGCTGCAGCTGCTGTTCCTCTTTCTCTTTACTGGACTTCTGGTGGCCATTGTCATCCAAGGTCAGGATCATCTCGGAGGTTGGGGTTCCCTTGGGTGACCTTTCAGCTCAGATGTCTAGGTCCAAAAAAATGGAGGAGCTGACAAGAGCAATGGGCCCTTCAGCAGCAGCTAGCACTTCTTGGAACCCCTCCATTTTTATTTGTTTGGGGATGGAATAGAAGCAGTAGACGGTTCATGGGTATTAAGATTTCTTATCTTTGAATGAGATATTTTTAAATATATTTATTTATTTTATGTATATGAGTATGCTGTAGCTGTCCTCAGACACACCAGAGGAAGGCATCAGATCCTATTACAGATGGTTGTGAGCCACCATGTGGTTGCTGGGAATTGAACTCAGGACCTCAGGAAGAGCAGCCAGTGCTCTTAATGATGAGCCATCTCTCTAGCCCTTGAATGAGATTTTTTAATACAGCATCAGTGTGATGTTTGACACACAGTGGATGTTTAATAATTACAATATCTTTTTTTCTGTCAAGTTTCCAAGATCCCCAACTCAGAAGAAATTCAATGGGAACAGAAAAAGCAAGAGAAAATGTACCAGGACCTGAGCCAACTGAAATCTGAAGTTGGTGAGTGAGCAAAACCAAAATGTCCCTGGTTCTGTGAAGGCACTCATGTGGGGTCACTCTGTTCTAGTTGCTGGCCATCTCTGCCCTTTCAATTCCTTATCTGTGAAGTTGGAATAGTGATTAAAAAAAAATGAAAGCATGTGATGGTCAATGAGGACCATGCACAAGTAGGCACCCAACTAAACCAATCTTCTGTCATCTGTGGAGAAAACAGGACCAGGTATCCTGGACTCTCTTGGAATGGAGAAAGGGCTTAAGAAGTAGAGAGAGGGAAATGGCTTGACCAGGGAGGATCCTCACTCTGGAGGTCTTGAAGCTAGACAAACACAGGAACAAGGAGATTCAAATATGAGTCCAACCTGATCTACTTTCACCAACAGATAGCCTCTGTCGCCCTTGCCCTTGGGAGTGGACATTCTTCAATGGAAACTGTTACTTTTTCTCCAAGTCACAACGTGACTGGCACAACTCCATCACCGCCTGCCAAGAAATGGAGGCCCAACTAGTCGTCATCAAAAGTCATGAGGAGCAGGTGTGACTGGCTAACTGTTCTGGGGCATTCATCTAGATACTGACAAACCAGGGCAGAGAAAGTTATTTATATGATATTTGCTAGAAAATGGACTACTCCATCTACTTGGAAAGGGTGAAAAGGGAGGTATGAACGGGTGTTCCCTGGCACCTTGAAAATAGGCATACTCAAGTTCCCAACATGGATAAATGTTGTGGGAAACATTTAAAATGAAAGTGATTTTTGTGAGTGTACTGGCCAGGGCATAACAGCTTCTTTGACAGGGGTAGGTTTGTTTTGTTTTGTTTTGTTTTGTTTGTTTGTTTGTTTGTTTTTTAAATCCTTGCTGTAAATATTCTCACCAGGGTTGATTTCAAGTAACCAGTGAGGTTCACTCAATAAAGACCTGAAGACCAAATGCATGACCCACAGTCACAAACTTATATAGTCTAGCTTTATCATAACTGACCTTGAGTAAATTTATGTAGGTATACTAGGAACATGTAAGGCACAGAAACATAGTGTTATCAAGTGCATGTGATGGGTGGCCAGCTGTGCACAGTACTAACATAAATAGGCTCCAGGTATGTGAATAATTCAGAACTCCTGGGAACATCAGGCTGAGGGTGGAGCTCAACTTTTAGAGTGCTTGCCTAATATACGTGAATTCAGTCCTCAGCACCACATAAGGCAGGTGGTAATGCAACCCTGTCATCCCAGCTCTTGGGAGGCGAAAGCCAGAAGATGAAAAGGATAAAGCCATCCTCAGCTACATGAGTTTGAGGCCATGAGACCTGTGTCCAAAAAATAATAATAATAATAACATATGGTGGCTCCTGACTGATGTACTAATGTGAAAGGGTTAAACTCAGATTTCAAGCAGACCCTGCTGCCAGGAGATTGGGGAGCATAATAGCTTTCCACTGCTGTAACAAAATATCTGAAACCAGCTCCAGGAGGAAAATTATGTCCCATAGTTCAGAGACTTCAGTCCATGGTCAGCTGGACCCATTTCTTTTATGTCTGTGGCAAGGCAGAAATATAATATGAAGGCATAGCAGAAGATAGCCTCCTGCCTCCTGCAGCATCCAGGAGCAAAAGGACACACAGAGAGGGGACCAGGGACAAGACTCCCCTCCAAAGATACTACCACTGTGGCCTATGTCCTCCATCTAAGCCACATTTCCCTGCTTTTATAGCCTACGCATAATGCTGTCAAATACTAAAGCCAGCCCGTTTCTCCCTGAGGATTGATAGGCAGTTACTAATGGTAGAAATGGAAGGATATCAGGGCCCCACCCCTCCCTAAGATCTAGAGGCAGCTAAGGGTTGCTGAGGAATGGTAAGACACCTTCTTCTGTGGTGCAGCCACTGGTAGGGTACCCATGCTCCTGTAAGGATCCCCTCTCCTATAAGGAGCCCTAACTAAACTTGTTCATTTGCCAAAAATACAGATGTTTTGGAATCCACTGGTGAACACAAGCTAAGGAACAGGGAATAGGGAAAAGGCTGCCTCCTGACTCTTTCTCTCCTCCTCCAGAGCTTCCTACAGCAGACTTCCAAGAAAAATGGCTACACCTGGATGGGGCTGTCAGATCTGAACAAGGAAGGAGAGTGGTACTGGCTGGATAGTACGCCTCTGTCAGACAGGTAGTCCCAGCAAAGGAGTACCCTGAAGACTGGAAGGGAAGGGGCTGTGTTTGACTTGTACTACCCTTCTGGTTCCCCTAAACTCTGCCACCACCTTCCCTGGACTTCTAGAAATAAGAGTTAATAACATTCCTCCATAAGATGGAGGAAGGAGGACCTGATGTTCACACAAGACAGAAGCTGCTTAGGTTCCGTCATTAGAACTGAAGGAGGAGTCTGTAGCCTGTGTGGGTATCTAAGTAAAGTGTATTCATGGCCAGCTTCATAAGGAAGGTCACTAGGTCAAGGGATTACAGCATTTTAAAGAGTAGCATGTTGGACTGGGGAGATGGCTCAGGTAGTCAACTGCTTGGAGCACAAGTAGGAGAAAGGATCAGAATTGGATCTGTATAATTCAGGTTTGTTTGTTCACTTGTTTCTCAATTTGTTTGTTTGTTGAAAGCTGAACATAGTTGTGTCTGCATGTAATTGCAACTCAGGGTAGACAGAGAAAGATGAATTGCTGGAACTCATAGGAAAAGCAGCCTAACCTGGTGGTTCCAATCCAGTAGCAGACCCTGCTTCAGAAAAAAGGTAGATGCCTACTAAGGGCTCCCTGAAGGATGACACCTAAGGTTCACTTCTGGCCTCTACACATACACATACACACACACACACACACACACACACAAGCACATAACACATACACACCATACGAGCATGTAGGCATGTGCACAAACACATGTATCACACACTCATATATGCACATATACATACACCCATCACACACATGCACATGCATGTACACATGTGCCTGGACACATAGACACATCACACTTGCATGTACTTACAAATGTACACACATTACATACATGCACATAAAGGCACACATGCATGAAAAGATAGCATGTTATACTGACAGAGCCTCCTAAGAGAAGGATTCATCACATGTGGGGAACATCAGCCAGGATCAGGGCTAGTGGGAATGCAGAGGAAACGGGCACTGTGGGTAAGACCCTATGTTAGATGTCAAGGTAAGGAGTACAGCTTGGATGTAGGTAAGTGGTAAGTTCTAGAGTGCAGGCACTGTCCTTGGTTGTTTGTTATTTAGCCATGAGCTTGTGTGTATTGATTGACCCAGAGTACAAGAGCCCAGTGAAAGAGGTGATTGGATGTGGCAAGTTTACATTGGCTAGTTGTATCTTATAGCCATGCTCCCTGTGGGACAACTCTTATCAAGCATGGGATACAGGGGTAAAGGTCAAAGTGACATGAGAAAATGATGAGGTCCTGTACATGTTTGTCACACACATTCAAGGAAGGTATGAAAGTGCCAATTTCCAGGAACTATGAAAAACTGCTCATAAGGTGCAGGTAGCATTGTGGATGCAGTCTTTGTTCCAATGTGCATTTACTTATGTAATGTTACAATTGCCTTACTATTTAAAATGTCAGATGGCTGTAGAAGTGAGGACTTACCCCTGGGTATTCAGTTCTATTCCATCAATCGGAATGTCTGTATTTATGCTAGTACTATGCTATTGTTACTACTACATCTCTATAGTATGTCTTGAAATGAAGAGTGCTGATATTTCCAACAGTGTTTTCAATGTTCAGGATGGTTTTGGCTATCCTGGGCCTTTGCATTTTCATATGAAATGTAAGATTTTTACTTACATGAAGTATTGCATTGGCATTTTGGTGGGGATTGTACTAAATCTGTAGGTTGCTTTTGGCATGATGGCCTTTTCATGGTGTTAATCCTGAGCATAGAAGGTCTCTCATCACTTGATGTCTTCTTCAGTTTCTTCTAGGTTTAAAAGTTTTCTTTGTAGAAGTCCTTAACTCCCTCGATTAGGTTTATACCAAGATAATTTTAAACTATTGTGAATGGGATTGATTCCCTGATTTTTTTTTTCAGTGTGAGTGTCTTTCGTATACAGGGATGCTGCTGTCTTGTACATGTCTGTTTTGTATAATTGTGAATGTTTTCTGCAGCCTAGAGAAGAATTGGAACCAAGGACAGCCCAACAATATTGGGGGACAAGACTGTGTGGAATTCAGAGATGATGGCTGGAATGACGCCTCATGTGACCAAAAGAAATTCTGGGTCTGCAAAAAGAATGCAACTGCCTGTTCTGCCAGCAAGTAATGACCAGACCTTCTCTACAGCTTGCACAGCCTAAACATCCCAGTTGGGCAGCAGACTTTTACTCATCCATTTCCCAGTTTCTCCTCCCTGTCTATGGTCATGGAAATCTTAGTATTACCTCTAGGACTCATCAGTTTCCTTTGTTAATCACTATGGTGCTGGACCACTGATGTCCTTCTTTTGATGTCTCCAAACTCCTACTGATATAGTTGCGGTTTTGCCATTGAATTTAACTACATTGAAGCTGTGTATCCACTGATGGGCTGGATGTGTTCCATTCATCTCCCCTGTCTTTCTTGTTGAGGTCAGAGGGCTTACATCACTATAATCATTATAATATTCATTATATTGGTAAATTGTCACATGCTATTTGAGCTCACAGAGAAGCTGGCTCTGGAATTATGGTTGCCATGTAACACTAAAGCATGTTTACCTCAAAGTGTCATTCAAAGACCTTGTCTAGGGTTGAGCAGCCCCTGCCCAACTGTGTAACAGGGAGGGAAGAGATCAGCAAGACAGCTTAGGAGTTAACACATTGCATCCTTGAGAACAGTTAGAAAGTGGACATTACCAATAGGTGTTACTAATGTTTATCCCATGGTATGAAAGTGCCTGCAGTGGAACAGAGAAGCCAGAAATTTATCCATGAGGAGCTCAGCAATGGAGAGACAGCTCAATACCAAACTCCAGCCGCCTGCCTCAACTTCTCCAGTCAGTTTCTGCTGACTTCTGTGAGCACTCGGATTTGAGGATGTCATTTCTCTCTGTTGTTATCTGTATTTTTACCTAAGGGGTTTTTACTTTACCCTTCTGGAAACCCAATAGGGAGCTCCAGCTAACTGCCTTAATGGAGTGTCCTCAGTCAGTTTCTGCTGGGTGTTTGTAAGCCCCCGACTCATACAATTATCTTCCCACTGCTATTTGTACTTTTACTTGAAAGCCTCACTCAGGTGACACTCCTCTTCCCAGGACTCCTTGTGTTGGGAACTCTAGCTGGCTGCCTTAAAGGGGCTTCTCTCTTTAATTTCTGCCTGACACATTGAGCACTCAACTTGACGATGTTTGGTATTGGCTTGCTATATACTTAATAAACTCATTCAAAACTGAGAAAGTGTGGGAGATGGACTGCTTTTGTAAAGGATCTGTGTCCCATTCCCGGCATCTACATGACCTCTCACAACTGTCTGTAAGTCCACTTCCTAGGGATCCGATGCCCTCTTCTAGTCTCTGACAATACTGGGCATGCAAGTGTTGTACAAACACACATGCAAGCAAACATACACATATAATAAAGGGGAAACAGAAGTATGGCTATAGTAGATCATTCTCCAGACCATGCAGTATACATGTGTTATTGCTAATATATCCCAAGAAATTGCATGCAGTCCCTGCATATTTTTTCCCATCCACCTCCCCTGTGTACTTTAGCTTAGAAGTCTTTCTCTTGTTGTTATAAATCTTCCAATAAGCTGAAGTACCAGAGAACTCATCTCCCCAGCCCCACAATGATTCACACTAATATGTGAATTTCCTACTTTCTGCCCTCCTTTGTTGATAGCTTGATAAACCCAGATGTGTCTCTATTTAAGGAAGTTCATGTTTCTCTGGTTCCTGGAAGTTGTAGCGGTGGCAGTGGCCATCTGTCATCCTCTTTGCAGCTTGACTGTGCTACAGGGAGCTCATCACCAATGCTGGGTCCCTTACTGCTTCAGTTCATAAGAATGAGAGACAACCCAATCCAACTATGTTGTAGCAACAAGAGATACCTATGAAGCTTTGTTCTAAAACTTCCCAGCAGGTGACTGTGAACTCTGTCAGACCACCACTCATGGAATTGTGATCCTATCATGTGCCTGCTTCCCTCCCAGCAGTATATATATGACAGACTACTAGCCTCTCCACGCGAACTCAGTGGAAGAAAACAGTGAAAAGAATAAGTGCCTAAGCCTGCCAGAGACAAGGTCTATAAATGAACTTAAGCCAGGGAGATCTCTATATGAAAGAGGCAGGAGGGCTGAGAATCAGAGCCCATTGGAAAGTTCCCCTGAACCCTCACCACCCCTAGTCAACTTAGGCTACCTGGGGCAAAGAAGTAGAAACTGCAGTGGAGGTGCTGCTGCTTACATATGCCTGACTTACAGTACCAGAGCTGGTGAAAGTGTATGCAGACATCTAAAGGACCTACCAGGAAAGAGCTTGAAAATTCCTCTCCCCAATACACCAGAACGCCACTGAACATAGCAGCTACAGAGACCAATGGCTTCCATTTTTGCCTGTTAACACATGGCACCATGTGAAAGCTGACCCTAGAACTTCACCTTTCAACTTTGCTTGTCTGTGTCAACAATTCACTTCAAGAGTTCTTTTCATTTTGTTATTGAAAATATTTTCATCCAATTTATTCTGATCAGTTTCCCCTCTCCCTCAAACAAACAAACAAACAAAAAAGCACAATAAAAAGAAAAATACAAAACAAACAAACACATGCACACAGCCACCAAAACCCATACAAACACACAAGTGGAAACCATAGTATACAAGCAAAGTGCCAGAAAGACAAAAAATAATAATAATTTGCAAATAAAGCCATATGAGACAAAAAGTCTGGTAGGGTGGTATATGGCTTTATTCCCAGCACTCAGGAGGCAGAGGTAAAAGAATGACTGAGTTTGAGGGCAGTCTGGTCTACAGAGAGAGCTCAAGAACATCCAGGGCAACACAGAGAGATAAAATGCCTACCAAAAAAATGTCATTGAATTTGTTTTGTATTGGCCATCTACTATGGGGCAAGGACCTACCATTAGGTGGGTTAATAGACCCAGTAAGATTCTATTAGAGAGAATTAAATTTTTGCTTTGCTAGTGTCAGTTGTAGATGGGTTCTAGGTTAGGGGCCACTTGCCCCACTTCCTGTGCTTGCTACCAGTCTTAGTGAGTTTGCATGTGCCTCAGTCCTATTGTTGGTCTGTTGCTGCTTGTATTGCAATGCTGAATGTTAGCCCTCAAGGCCTGGATGTCCCCAGGGGAGACACTGTATGCATAGATGACCCTTCACCCGCACCCCATTGGTCCCAAGAAAGCATTTCTTCTATACAGAAGATCCCGATTGGCTGGCATTGTCTGCACCATCAATCCTGGGTCTCTCAGTCAATCTTCAACTAGGTCTCCCTGCAAGAGATGCTTTTGCAGCCGCATATGCTCCCAGCATTTACATAGAGGTGACCCATTCCTACTACACTGGCCCTGGACTTTTTTTGGTTGGGAGATTTTTAATGACTGTTTCTATTTCCTTAGGGGTTGTGGGACTGACTGTTAGATAGTTTATCTGATCATGATTTAACTTTGGTACATTGTATCTGTCTAGAAAATCATCCATTTCATCTAGATTTTCCACTTTGTTGAATATAGGCTCTTGTAGTAAGAGCTGGTGATTTTTTTAAATTTCTTTGGTTTCTGTTGTTATATTCCCCTTTTCATTTCTGATTTTGTTCATTTGGATACTGTTTCTGTGCCTTTTAGTTTGGCTAAAGGTGTTCCTATCTTGTTGATATTCTCAAAGAATCAACTCTTGATTTTATTGATTCTTAATATTGTTCTGTTTCTAATTCATTGGTTTCAGCCCTAAATATGACTATTATTCCTCTTGAGTGTGTTTGTGTTCTTTTGTTCTAGAGTTTGTGCTGTTATGTTGCTAGTATAGTATCTCTCCAATTTATGAAGGCACTTATTGTTATAGATTTTCCTCTTAACACGCCTTCACTGTGTCCCAGAAGTTTGGGTATGCTGTGTCTTCATTTTCATTAAATTCTAGGAAGTCTTTAATTTCTTTATTTCTTCCATGACCAGGTTATCATTGAGTAGAGAGTTGTTCAGCTTCCATGTGTATTGAGCTTTCTGTTGTTTTTGTTGCTGTTGAAGAATGGCCTTAGTCCATGGTGATCTGAGAGAATGCATGGGATTATTTCAATCTTCTTGTATCTGTTGTTGGCTTGTTTTATGTCTGATTATATGGTCAGTTTCAGAGAAGGTACCATAAGATGCTAAGAAGAAGGTATATTATTTTGTTTTAGGGTGAAATGTTCTGTAGCTGTCTATTAAATCCATTTGGTTCATAACTTTTGCTAGTTTCACTGTGTCTCTGCTTAGTTTATTTTTCCATGACCTGTCCATTGGTGAGAGTGGAGTGTTGAAGCCTCCCACTGTTACTGCATGAGATTCAATGTGTGTTTTGAGCTTTAGTAACATTTCTCTTACAAATGTGGGGGCCCTTGCATTTGGGGCATAGATGTTAAGGATTGAGAGTTTGTCTTGGTGGATTTTTTCATTGATGAGTATAAAGTGTTCTTCGAGAATTTTTGGTTGAAAGTCTATTTTATTGGATATTAGAATGGTTATTCCAGCTTGTCTCTTGGGACCATTTGCTTGGAAATTTTTTTCTAGTCTTTTACTCTGAGGTAGTGTCTGTCTTTGTCACTGAACAGCGTTTCCTGTATGCAGCAAAATGCTGGGTTTTGTTTACACATCCAGTCTATTAGCATATGTCTTTTTATTGGAGAATTGAGCCCACTGATGTTGAGAGATATTGAAGAGCAATAATTGTTGGTTCCTCTGGTTTTTATTGTTACAAGTGATATTATGGTTTTTTGGTTCTCTCCTTTTTTGTGAGATGATTAATTTCTTGGTTTTTTTGTGGGTGTAGTTTTCCTCCTTGTGTTGGAGTTATCCTTCTTTTATCCTCTATAGGGCTGAATTAGCAGAAAGATGTTGCTTAAATTTGGTTTTGTGATGGAATATCTTGGTTTCTCCATCTAGGGTGATTGAGAGTTTTGCTGGATATAGTAGCCTGGGCTGGCATTTGTGTTCTCTTAGGGTCTTCATGACATCTATCCAAGATCTAGCTTTTAGAGTCTCTGTTACAAAGTTTGATATGATTCTGAAAGATCTGCCTTTATATATTACTTGGCTTTTTTCCCTTACCACTTTTAATATTCTTTCTTTGTTCTGTGCACTTGGTGTTTTGATTATTATGTGACAAGCGGATTTTCTTTTCTGGTCAAATCTGTAGAAGAAGCCCTGTAGGCTTCTTGTATGCTTACGACCATCTCTTGCTTTATGTTAGAAAAGTTTTCTTCTATGATTTTGTTAAAGATGTTTTCTAGCCCTTTTAACTGGGAATCTTCACTCTCTTGTTTTCCTATTATCCTTAGGTTTGGTCTTTTCATTGTGTCCTGAACTTTCTGGATGCTTTCAGTTAGGAGCTTTTTGCACTTTGTACTTTCTTTGACTCTTATGTTAATATCTTCTATGATATCTTCTATGTCTGAGATTCTCTCTTCTATCCCTTGTATTCTGTTGGTGGTGCTTGTATCTGTAACTCCTGATCTCTTTTCTAGGTTTTCCATCTCCAGGGTTGCCTCCCTTTGTGATTTCTTTATTGTATCTACTTCCATTTTTAGATCCTGGACAGTTTTGCTCAATTCCTTCACCTGTTTGATTGTGTTTTCCGGTATTTCTTTAAGGGATTTATGTGTTTCCTCTTTAAGGGATTCTACCTGTTTACCTGTGTTCGCCTGTATTTCTTTAAGAAAGTTATTTGTATCTTCCTTAAAGGGCTCTATCATCTTTGTGAGATGGGATTTTAGGTCAGAATCTTATCCAGGGCTTGATGTGGTGGATTCCAAGTGTCCTTGGTTTCTGTTGCCTATGTTCTTGTGCTTGCCTCTCACCATCTGGTTACTTCTAGTGTTAACTGGCCTTGCTGTCTCTAACAGGGACTGGAGCCTGTCTCTCCTTGTAGGAAGGTTGGGTTCTGTGAGCTGGTTTAGAGCAGGCCTTCTGGGAGGCAAACAGTGCTGTCTCTGGTTAGGGAAACCTCCTGTGTCCCTAGTTAGGGCAGGCTTCCTATGACTCTGGCTGTGGCAGATCTCCTGTGACCCTGGTTACAGTCTCTGGGTGAGGGCAGGTAGGCTGGAGCACCCAGTCTGCCCCGGGCCAAGTTGTGAACTGGAAGGAAGATGTGTCTCCCACAGATTAGATATGTCGTGCATCTGCAGAGCCCTGTGGGGGTCCCAGTTAGGCCAGATCTTGAGGTGGAGGGTCTCACCTGTGAGTCTGATTATAATGAACTTCCTGGGAGTCAGGCTGTCTCTAGGTGTGAGGGAGTTGGCTGGATCGCCTGATCTTCCCTCGATTGAGTTATGGACCAAAAGGAAGTGACTTGTACAATTTAATTAATGCATAGGAATCTAGAAGGGGATGGGAATGTGGCTCAGTTAGCTCCAACTAGATCAGGATGAGGTAGATGAGGTAGTTCAAGTCATTCCTGCTACATGTCAAGTTTTAGGCCAGCCTGGGGTACATAAAATCTTATCTCAAAAACAGAGAAAAAGAAAAGAAAGAAATCACCATGACTGTCACCATCAGTAAACCAAGATGAAAATGCCTGGCATCAGCAGGGTGGTGTTTCTGAGAAGATGGGATTTTGCAAGCCCACATCCTCCCATAACCCAAAGTCATTTTATTTTACAAGTTACTGGTTTTTATAGAAGACATTCCAGAGCTGACCATACTGGAAGTGAACCAGCTATTTTGGCTGTGACGTACAGGGCCTCTCAACGCTCTCTGAAATTCTTAGAAAATGTATCTCTTGTCTACTGTATCAGATGCTCAGCCTCCTCCCTCTCACTCTTCCGGTGCCAGTACTCACTTCCCAATTTCTCTTTGTAAGTAAGCTTCAAGGAGGTGGCAAATAAAAGCTCTTGTCTCCATCTGATTCTGGCACTAAGAAGTGGCTGTGAAGCATGAGTGAGTCTAAGGAAATGGAGAAGAAGCAGCTTGGCCCTTTGGGTGAGACTGGGCTGGTGTTCTGTGAGCTTGGGGAAGGGACACAAATAGGACAGTGCTTGTCTTGGACTACCCTGTATATGACTGCCGCTCTATTCGCTTAGATGAAGAACTGCTGACATCCAGCCACACCAGGTACTCCATCAAAGGCTGTGGCTTCCAACCAAATTCTGGACTCAGTAGCTTCACAGGTAAAACAGGATGAGGGACTATGGAGTGGTCAGCTTCTAACTGAAACTTGGGTTCCTTGGGAGTGGAGGTGAAGACTGGGACTCAGGCCACTGATACTCAGAAAGTTGGAAGCTCAATCCTGAATCTGGGACCTGGACTTCTGGGAACTGTAGAGGCTAGGATCTGCAATCGTGTACCTTGGGAGTGAGACTGATGAATTGCCTGACTGGGACCACACTGAGTCACAGATCCTGAGGTGCTAAAATTCCATCCTTCTCTCCCACAGGGTATCTGGTCCACAGCCATGTCCCCTTGGCACTGCAGGTGCTCTTCCTCACTGTATTCTCTGTGGTGCTGGTTGTCATCCTTGTCAAAGGTCAGGCAAGATTGAGGTTTGGGGATCTTAAGTCTGGCTCTTCAACCAAGGGATCCAGGAGGGAGGAGCAACTGACTGGGACTGTGTCTTCATGGTCCTTTGAATAGAGGAGTTCTGTACAGAGACATTGGCTACACTTGCCTTAGACATCCAATTTTCTTTGGTTATTAGATATCTTCCTCATCAAATAGGACTAAGTAAGACCTTGGGTCTTGAAAATGATGCAAAACTGGAGACACTGTTCAAGTGGTAGAATGCTTATCTCACATGCTCAAAATCCTGTGTTCCATCCCAAGCACTGCATAAAACTGGGTGTGATCGTGAATTCCTATAATCTCAGCACTCATGAAGTGGAGGCAGAGAAGTCCATAGAGACAGCTACATAGAAATTTTGATGCAGCCTGAATTATATGAGACTATCTAAGAGAGAGAGAGAGAGAGAGAGAGAGAGAGAGAGAGAGAGGAAGGAGGAGGAGGAGGAGGAGGAGGAGGAAGGAAGGAAGGAAGGAAGGAAGGAAGGAAGGAAGGAGAAAGGAAGGAGGAGAGGAAGGGGGTAGAAAGTGGGGAGTGTGGAGGGGAAGAAGTATGTCTTGATCTTAGGGGCCCAGTATAGACCAAAAACACAGTAAACATTTAATAACTGCAGTGACTATTTTTCTTGACCCAGTCTGCAGGATCCCAAGTTCTCAGGGACAGGAGGAGTCGAATCAGAAGAGTGTCTACGAGGAACTGACCCAGTTGAAGGCTGGGGTAGGTGAGTGACTGGAAGTGAAGGATCTCATATCCAGAAAAGGTTTACACAGAGAGTCACTTAGCTTTAAATAACTACTCTTCACTGAGCCTCAGTTTCCTCACCTATGGGATGGACATGCAGGGTAATACTAAGGAAGGCAACTCACTGGTGTTTGACAAGAGTCCATGTACACAATAGACAGTGTTCATAGAAATTATGTACAAAATAAGCACTCAATAGTCACAGGAGCCTGGACAGAATATGCACCCAATGTTTACAAGAGTATGTTCAAAGTAAGCTCTCAAAGGTCACAGGGGTATGCACACGTTAGACACTCAGTGTTCACAGAGATTGTGTACACATTAGGTGCTCAGTGTTCATAGGAGTATGCACATGGTAGGTACTCAGTTGAACCTGCGTCCTGGCCTCTATTCTGAGCTCTAAGACCCAACTTCTTCCAGTCTGGAAAGGATCAGGCTAGGACTCCTGGGTTCTCCTGGGTATAGAAGGAACTCAAGAAGTGGGGTAAGGCGTGTGCCGTGTCAAGGGAGGGGTTAGTTCTGGAGGGCTTGAAGGTTGAAGATGTGTCCATCCTGATCTGACCTCCCCAACAGATCGCCTGTGTCGTTCCTGCCCCTGGGACTGGACGCCCTTCCAAGGAAGCTGCTACTTTTTCTCTGTGGCCCAGAAGTCCTGGAATGATTCTGCCACTGCCTGCCACAACATGGGGGCTCAACTCGTGGTCATCAAGAGTGATGAAGAGCAGGTATGGCTGGTGAGGGCCAGTCCTCAGCTGAGGATGCATCAAGGCCACTGGTTAAAGGGGGGAGAGGTATTTAGTTGGATACAGTGTTCTAGAAAAGAGGCTGCTTGCCTGAAAAGGGAAGATAAGAAGGTTATGAATGAGAGCAGAGCACTTGCAAAAAGACACACTCTGGGGCTGGAGAGGAGGCTCAGCGGATAACGCGCTTGCCAGCAAACATGAGGACCTGAGTTTGGACTCCTCAAACCCACACAAAGCCCAGCATGAGGAAACACATCTGTGATCCCAGTGTTCCTGTGGTAAAATGGGAGGTAGGGACAAGAGGTTCCATGGAAGCTAGTGAGCATCTCTCACAGAATACACAGAAATAACAAGAGACCCTGTCTCAAAAAAGGTAGAAGGTGAGTATCCTCACCTAAAGTTGTCCTCTGATGTACACATATGTATGTGCACGTGCACATTCAGGTATAGGTGCATGTGTGTGCATGTGCAGGCCAGAAGTCAGCCTTGAGTGTCATCCCTCAGGCATCTGGCCACTGTTTCTTTAAGGCATGGTCTCTCATTAACCTGGAGCTCACTATTTAGGCTAAGCTGGCGGGCCAACAAGACCCAGGGATCCTCCTGCCTCTGGCTCCCTCTTGCTGTAATTTGTACCATCACATCCGACTTTTTCACATGATTGCTAGGGCTCAGACGCAGGTCCTCAGGCTTGTGTGGCACAAGCCTAGCTGGCTCAGCCATCTCCTCACCCTCACACTGTAGTTTTTAATGTGATTGATACTTTGGGAGGAACATTTAAAATTTATGGCCAGCACTTAACAACTCTCTCTGTGGGTTTTAAAAAGAAATCCTGTTGTATGTCTTTTGCTAATTCCCCTGGTGTAAATAGTACCAGCCCTGCTGATTTTAAGCACCAGTGAGACAATTCAGAGCTGAACAGAGGCCACTAACACACTCAATAATCATTAACTTGTTTGATCTGGTGCAGGCAACCAATCCCAATGAGTAAATTCATGTGGACATATACATAACTTTCAGACAGACAAGTATATGGCATTACCAAGTCTGCACATACTGTGTGCTAGAGAGAACACATCTGCCCATAGCACACAGGTGTAGAAAGACCCAGAACTCAATGGTGTTCATGGCTTTATAATGTACAAAGTTAAACATCAGACTGTAGGCAGAACTTCCCACCAAGAGTTTAGTTTTAACCACAACACTGGTTAAAAGAGGGAGGCAGTGCTCCCTTCTGACTCTTTCTCTTCTATTTTTCTAGAACTTTCTACAACAAGCTTCTAAGAAGAGAGGCTACACTTGGATGGGGCTCATTGACATAAACAAGGAATCTGCATGGCACTGGATAGATGGCTCACCTCTGACCCTCAGGTATGTACTAGAAGAAGGGAACACCCTACAGAGTGTGATGAAGCTCTGACTTGAGGTATGCCTGGTGCTCATTTCCTCTCTCTGGTCACCTAGGCAGTAGAGCTTGGAACATTTTCTGAGTGACATGAAGAAAAAAAAAAGTCCAAATAGGAATGGCAGGTGCCTGAGATCCCATCATCAGAACTTCAGGAAAGACTTACAGCCAGAGGGGCATGCAATAGAAATGATTATTTAGGAAATCCAAGACTGGGAAATGGCTCCATTGGTAAAGTGCATGCCTAGAACCCATGTAAAAACAACTGGTGGTGTGGTGGCATGCATCTGTAATCCCTGAACTGGGAGAGCAGAAATAGAAGGCTTCCTAGGGCTTGTTGGACAGCCAGCCTAGCCAAATAGCAAGTTCAAATCAAGGTGGAGAATGTCCTGAGGCACAATAGCTGAAGTTTTTATTACTCCCACTTGCATATGCAAGCACAACCACACACACGTGATCACACAGAGATTGAAAATTACTGTTGCTGTGAACAATATGACTTGTAGGTGGAACTGGAGAGACTGCTCAGTGGTTAAGAACCTGGGAGTCTTTAATTCTCTATCTGCAAAAAAAACCTGAAACTTCCAGATAACACAAGTTTGGTTCCCAGTTCTCATATCAGTTAGCATCCACCTACACTCACATGTGTGCACATACACCCGCACATTGGGACGTACAAACACACACACACACACACACACACACACACCACCACCACACCACACCACACCACATCACATCACAAAAAGAAAAGAATGTGCCCAGAGTTGTTGTACTCTGAGGTCCAAAGAGAAGGAGTTTATATCACCACTTGATGGTGTGCCAGGAGACCAAGGACCTGACCTCTAGATGTGGAAGGATTAGGAGATTTGGACAAAGGCCTTGGTTGAGGTGTCAAGAAAAGAACTAGATGATCTGGATCAAGGAGGCTTAGGTGGGGGTGTTTTAAAGTGTGTTAGTGAGTTCTAGCTGCTGTCTTTCCTGGCTTGCCTTGTACTGATGTGGTGAACACCATGACCAGAAGCAGTGTGGGGAGGAATGGGTTTATTTCCTCTTACAACTCTCAGGTCACATTCCATCACTGAGGAAAGACAAGGCAGGAACTCAAGACAGGAACTAAAGCAGAAGCCATAGAAGAACACAGCTCACTATGCTTCCCATGGCTGACAGACTATGTCTGTGACAGAATCTCATGTCTCCTTGTCTTTGCAGTTTCATGAAGTATTGGAATAAAGGGGAACCGAACAACCTGGGAGAGGAAGACTGTGCAGAGTTCAGAGATGATGGCTGGAATGACAGCAAATGTAACAACAAGAAATTCTGGATCTGCAAAAAGCTTGAAACTTCCTGCCCTAGCAAGTGATAGACAACTCCCTTCACTACCCCCACAGTCCCAAAACCCTGCCAGATGGCAGAACTTCACCCATAGCTATGCCAGTTGATTCTACTTTTCTGTGGCCATTGATACTTTGACAAGATCTGTAAGACTTTTCTCTGGCAGGTAGCTTGTCTCCTGTGTTGCTCTTGGTCCAGCTTGTCTCCTGGATGATTGCTGTATAGTCTTCTGATGTCTGCAGGCTCTTTGGGTTAGTCGCTGTGCTTCTGATCCACCTTTGCCATTTAATGAAGTGAACAGACATGAAGTGCATACAGGTCCTTAAATGGGCTCCTTTCATCTCCTTTCTGAATTCAGACCATGTATTGCCATGTGCAATTGATGACACACCCTATGTGGCTTCATAGCATTTATGAGTACTTTACTCCCGCCTACTAAATTTTCATTCATCTACCCTGCACGTCTTTCTGTGGGACCCTTCTTTGATTTCAGGAGCTCAATCTGTAGGCTAAAAGCACAAGAGAACCAATTCCTCATCTAAAATAATCTAAAATTATTGTGTTAATTCCCTGGCTCCATCTCCACTCCTTAGTGGACATGGTGGGCCTCAATGTTATAGACCTTGAGATTGACCTCCCAAATTTTTTTTGGAGGATTTATAATTTTTATTGAATTTACTCATTGACAATTTTATACATATGTATGTATAAATATAAGTATAAATAAACATTCTGTTTATTGCCATCCTTCACCCATCCTGAATCCTCTCTTTCTTACCTCTTCTTACCTCCATTTATGACCTTTTGTTTGTTTTTTTGACCCACTGAATTTAACCAGGGCTATCTGTCTGACCATGGGTTTGAAACTGTCCAGTGGAGTCCGGTAGGCTCATCATCAAGTGAAGATAATGGCTATCCGTCTCCCAAAATCCATCAGTAGCCAATAATTTAGCAGAGAGAGAAAGGACCCTGTGAGCTCTTCCCTGATCCGTAACTGACTGTTGGGGTGCCAGATTTTGTGCAGCCTCAGCCACTGTAAGATCACATCTGCACCAAAAAACAAAAACAATTCACAGAATTTCACAGCTCTTCTCCAGCATTTATATATTTCTGCCCCCTCTTTCATACCATCCCCTGAAATGTTTTTTATTTAAGAGTGAACATGGTGCTCCTGCTGCTCAGAGTTCTGCTCTCGGCCCCTTCCTGTCCTAGATCACTGCATCAACTGCCTTCTCTAACTTCCTGGTGAAGCTCACATAGATGAGATGTAGCCATGTTTGAGTCAGCATGGGACAACTCTACAGGATCCTTGACGCTCCGTAGCACCCCCATGAGGTTACCTGTGGCTGCTATCAGACCTACCTTTCTAGGCCTGTCCTGCTAGTCTTGATTCTCTTTTATGAAATAATTAAAACATGGGTCTGTGTCTATGTCACTAAGTGATGGGTTTCTTTTCTTATTTACAATATGTACCATTGATCACTGTTGCATTTATGCCAGTGAGTGACTTGGTGTAAAACAGAAAATCTCAGCATGGGGCCAAGCACCAAGAGAGTCAAAGAGTTGATTAAAGCCTGGAATGTCCATCCACATTCACCACCGTCCAGAAATGTGGAGACTGAACTTTGTCAATCTCCAAGGCCGTAAGAAAAACACATGTCGACAGACTTCCCCTTACTCCACTGGGGCTGATCACAAAAAAAAAAAAAAAATCCTCCACAAACAGTTTAAATTTAGAATTGAATACTAAATTTTATTAATAATGTTAAGTCAAACTTCAACATGTAGTATAGCTCAGAGATACATTCCACAGTACCTCTCAGGGCTCTTGGTTATCTGAGTCCTAGTTGCCCACATAATAATCATAAGACTACCCATGTTCTTGTTCTTGTGTCCTTTCTTTCCCTTCCTGGTCCTTTGGATTTTCTCCCACTTCCACTGGTATGTTGTACACTCTCCTCTTAGATAAATTGCTTGATATCCAGATACTTGTCTCAGGCTCTACTGCTAAGAAAACCCAAACAAAATTTGCAGAATGTTTCTTTGAGTGCCCATCACTCATGGTTCTCCACTTCATTCATTCTTGTGCAATTTTTCTTTCAGAGGAGGTGTGCAGACTCATATGTTAATGTGTTCTGTGTGTTATGTGTACATGTGTATATATATATATGTGTGTGTGTGTGTGTGTGTGTGTGTGTGTGTGTGTTCTGCAATATGTGTGTGAATATGTTGGGGAATGCATGTGTGTGTGCTATATGGGTATGTGGTATACGTATAGTGTGTGCTCTGTATGTGCATGTGTGTATGTGAGGGGGTGTATGTATGTACCTGTGTGTGTGGTGTATGAATGTATATCCACTTCTGTGTAGATATGTACATGTGGGTACGTGGAGGTCAAAGGTCAAAATCAGTTGTCTTTCTCAGCTGCCCTCTATCTTTTTTTTTGAGACGGGTCTTTCACTGAACCTGGCACTCATTAGCTGGTTAGGATGGCTGGACAGTAAAGTTTCAGAACTCCATCTGTCTCTGTCCCCTTCCCAGTGTTGGGCTTACTCTAGCATTCCAGCATGTTCTAGCATCACCTGACTTTTTTAAATTTTATTTTTATTGGATAATTTATTTATTTACATTTCAGATGTCATCCCCTGTCTCCATCCTTCCCCCAGAAACTCCCATCCCATCCATCCCCCCTCCTCCTTTTTGCTTTTATACCATTTTAATTACATGCAAGTATTAAGGTCAGTTCTAGGTTGATGAACTAGCAATGCAATAGATGCAAATAGTCAAGGAATAAGCAAGGCAATAAACAAAGTTCCATGATCACTATTTCTAAGGGCTTATTAGGATGACTAAAATATCTGAGCCTACTTCCCTGTCCTAGCCCAAAGTCATTTTTATGTCTGAAGTATACTTCTTTGTTCTAGCCTAAGATTTAGATTCCTGCCTGAAATTACTTCTTTGTTCTAGTCTTATGTCAGATTCCTGCCTGAAGCCCACTTCCTTGTCCTTGGCCAATGTCATATTCCTGCCAAGCAGCCCATTTCCTTGTCCTTGGCCAATGTCAGATTCTTGCCAAGCAGCCCCAAAGGCTCTCCACCTCTCCCCGTTTTTTATTTCATAAACAAGACTGAGCCTGTCTTAGGTCATTCTGATAAGAATGCTTTCCTTACCCATCATGGAATATGCATTATCAAAAGCAATACACTTCTGTCTTAGGTTGGTAAGGCTCTGTGCAGAATCTTATCCATCCTTGGCTTGCCAGCCTGTTAAATTAATAACTCTGTCTAAGGGTCCATTTTCAGTTTCAAGTCATGTACTTTGGCTGCCAACATTCTGATGTTGTTAAAGACAAGCTTTAACACAATGGGCAGGAATAAAAGTATTCCCAGAACAAAAAGGGCTAGCATGATCAAGCATTATATGTCATTCTTGAAGCTTGACCAAAATAGAACACTGACCTCAGGTCATGGGTAATTTTATCAGCAGTATCTGCCGCATCAACACACAGCAGAGCAGCATTCTTTAAATTCATAAGCTCACTATGCAAAGCTAAAACATCCAGAGAGATGTTAGAATTATGCCAAATATCCTGCAACTATCTTTAAACTTTTTCCTAATTATAATGACTATCATTGTAAACTTTAGAAGTAACACAAATCCACTGGTATTTGGTATGACACTTGAGATGGCTCCTTACTCTTAAACTCTGAACCTCCTTCCAATAATTTAAATAGGATAAAGAGCACCAATCTGTTGTTCCAAATGCCTATCTAAATCCTCTTGTATATGCAAGACATTAGTAACATTTTTTGCTAAGTGATTAATAAGAGTAGCTGTCTTAACTTCTTGTGTCAAAGCAATTACAGAACCAGTGGTTCTAGCAATTAATGTAATTAAAGCTGTTACAGCAGCAATAATCAAGCCCACTACCCCCTTGCTTCTGCTTAAAGCCTCACTCACTTCTTCCAGTAGTTGCAAGCTTTTCTCAGAATACTAAGGTTCTGTAATACTCAGGGCAATAAAACAAAAGCTGATTGATAAACCTCTGTAACAGACATGCCAGGTTTCAACACACTAACACAATTATAAAGTGTACAATCAATGCAACTTACATTAAATACTGTAAAAGAAACAAAAGTAATTTTAGCTTGACAATTTAAAAAGCCCTAACACATGTACTAACACTTGTTTGAAATCCAGATCCTGCCCTAACTTTTATCTCTTGCTAACATAACATTATAGAGAACTGCAGCTAACTTTCAAATATGTCTCTAAAAATGTCCAGAACCAGCTTTCCAAATGAAGACTGTTATTTCCAATAATGGATTGATTTCTAGACCAGTCCATGATTGAGTTCAAATGACTGGTCACATTTAAGAAAAATACAAGAGTCATTACAACTTCTCTTTTTGATTCTCTGTTCCACAGGGTTTAAAAACTTGAGGCAAGGCAGCTTGTCCCATCTGGTATATAGGCAAGTGAAACTGGGTTGGGAACATATGTCCAATACAGCTTCCTGGTCACCATTGTCAGGGCACTAAGCGAGCTCACAGGTCAGCATCATTCTTTGTCCCTGCATCAGCATGTCTCACCTGTCACTCTGGCAGCCACCATGCTCCTTCAGCATCCTGCAGAAAAAACACAAACATTCCTTCTTCCCCATATTAAATACCTGATTGGGATAATGCCATATACCAGTAAGTAGATCCTTCCCTTTCACCTAGGCATAGGTATGTTTAGTTGTAGGGTGCCATAGACACTCAGTAGAATATTCCTTGGCATCCAAACTTTTTTTAAAATGTAAAATAAAAAGAACATGATTTAAATAAATTTGTGGTTTATGGGGATAAGCCTTCCTTTTTTTTATTTTATGAAGATATTATTTTAAAGTTCTATGGGCCCCTTCCACAGTCCTTTGTCCTTGAGGATTATAAGGAATCCCAGTAATATCATAATATTAAATTGTTGACAAAAAGTATTGAATGTTTGACTGCAATAGTCAGTTCCATTATCTGTTTTTTTGTTATTTTTTGTTATTATTGAATAATTTATTTATCTACATTTCAGATGTTATCCCCTTTCCCTATCCACCGCCCCCCAGAAACCCCTTAACCCATCCTCCCTCATCCTATTTCTATGAGAGTGTGCCCCTACCCATCCACCCACTCCCACCTCCCCAACCTCGAATTCCCCCACACTGGAGCATCCAGCCTTCATAGGACCAAGGCCCTCCTCTCCCACTGTTGCCCAATAAGACCATCCTCCATTACATATACAGCAGGAGCCATGGGTCCCTCCGTGTGTGTTTCCAGGCTGGCTGTTTAGACCCTGGGAGCTCTGGTTGGCTGGTATTGTCGCTCTCCTCATGGGACCACAGGCCCCTTCAATTTCTTCAGTCTTCTCTCTAACTCTTCCATTGAGGACCCTGTGATCAGTTCAATGTTTAGCTGTGAGCATCAGCCTCTGTATATGTCAGGCTCTGGCAGAGTCTCTCAGGGGACAGCTATATCAGGCTCCTGTCAGCATGCACTTCCTGGTGTTTCCTGTTATTTTTGTTAATAGAGGTAGAGTTATGTTTATGTGGCTATCTTCTTTTGGGTTTGTTAGAAGATGATTACTTCCATGCTTTTCCTAGGGTATAGTTTCCCTTCTTGTGTTTGAGTTTTTTCCCTTTAGTATCCTTTGTAGGGCTGGATCTGTGGAAAGATATTGTATAAATTTGGATTTGTCATGGAATATCTTGGTTTCTCCA